GTGTCATTAATAAAACCCTTGCGAACCACCCCTTAAACGCTTATATCCAGGCCAATAAGAAAATAGCCACCGCATTCCCCTTATCTAATAAATCCGTTACTTTCTCAAAGAAGGAGATCAGATTCGTTTGGCACGATCTGCCCTTCGTAAAACCATGTTGTAATTTATTGCAATTGCCACTAACCTCCAGGTCCTCAACTAGTTTCTCTTTCAGAATTTTCTCTAACACCTTGCACACTACAGATGTTAAACTAACAGGCCTGTAGTTACCCGGATCACTTTTTTTCCCTTTCTTGAAAATAGGAACCACATTAGCTATTCTCCAAGGCTGGGGGTGCTTTACCAAGCGTGAGGTCAGTCTAAGGAGATAAATCAATTAACAGCAGGATACCAAGAGAGGAAACAATAATTTCTGAAGTGATAAGAGGGTGGCCCATTACAGTGCTGAGCAAACAACTCTGAACCTGCTGCTCTCAGTTCTTCCCCAGGGTCTGCTCCAGGGGCAAAACTGGGGGGGGGGGGGAAGGGTGTTGCCACGGTAGTGATTTTTGTCACTAGATTTAGTTTCCCTGGCGAGGAAATAAGTGTCAAAATGACCAATTTAGTGACTTTCCCGGCTGATATCCAGAGAAAGAAATACCAATTTGTGTAGTCACAAAATCATTCGCAAGAAGCTCAGTGTTAATAAGATCTGTTCCTGGCTCTTCCACCCATCTTTCTGTTGCCCAGCAAGTCAGTGTCATTACCTCTGACGTGGGCATGTCCTCGGAAGGCCCCGCACCTAGGGTTTGCTTGGGCTGGGAATGAGAGAGAGGGTTTGACTCAAGCTCCTGGTGGCAGAATAAATGCTTAACACAACTGGGGCTCAGCGTCTCTGCCTTGGTGGTGGGGAGGGGGTGAAAAGCCAGGTCTAATGTGGAGGGAAGCCTGGAAGAGGGGAGGATACAACTGCCCCTCGGGAGAAAAGTTTAGATCTTCTGCTTAGTAAAAACTAGGGCTGTCAAGTGATTAAAAAAATTAATCACACTGTTAAACAGTAATGGAATACCATTTATTTCATTTTTGATGTTTTCTACATTTTCAAATAGATTGATTTATATGGAGATATACCTATCTCGTAGAACTCGAAGGGACCTTGAAAGCAATTGAATACGAAGTGTACAGTGCTCACTTTATATTTATTTTTGATTAAAAGTATCTTCACTGTAAAAAAACAAAAGAAATAGTATTTTTAAATTTTCAATTTCAATTTCCCTCATACAAGTACTGTAGTGCAATCTCTTTATCATGAAAGCTGAACTTACAAATGTAGAATTATGGACAAAAATAACTGCACTCAGTCCTACTTCTTATTCAGCCAATCGCTCAGACAAACAAGTTTGTTTATGTTTGTCAGAGGGGAGCCGTGATAGTCTGGATCTGTAAAAGCAGCAAATTGTCCTGTGGCACCTTATAGGCCAACAGACGTATTGGAGCATGAGCTTGCATCCGAAGAAGTGGGTGTTCACCCACGAAAGCTCATGCTTCAATACGTCTGTTAGTCTATAACAGGCCTGCACAACTCGTAAAGCGGTGAGGGCCATATTACTCCAAAGAAAATAGCTGAGGGCTGAACCCCCCTGGCCCCACTGAAATACCACCTCCCTCCCCTCCCCTGCACCGCCCAGTCCAGCCCCCGTGTAAGCAAGCAGGACTCACCCCGGTGGTGCTTCCTCCTGGTTTTCTCGGGAATTAGCTCATCCAGCTGTTGGAGCACCCTCTGCAGGCTGGTGTCCCGCTGCCGCTGGCCCCGTGTCCCTCCCAGACCCCGGTGCCCTTTGATCTGGGGTGCTGCCCCCTGGCAATACCCCCACACTCTGCCTCTAGGTCTCCCCTCTCTGGGGAACCCCCACCCACTATCCCTACCTCACCTCAGAATAAGGCCACTGCCAGTCACCAACTAGCCCCTGCACCCTGGGGCAGACTGCAGTATAAGCCACTCATCACAGGTAAGGTTGGGTTGGGTTTGGACCTGCTGCCTCTCTCTAGAGCTGGGCTGCCCCTCTGCAGCCCTGGTACTGGTCTTAGGCCCTTAGCTAGCTCCGCAGCTTGCGGGTTTTCCAGGCTGGATCTCCCCAGCTCCTCTAGCCTTCCCCAGCCCTGCTCAACTCCCAGTACCTTGCTCAGCTCCCTAGTAGCCAGGCCCTTCTCTCTCTACAAGCAGAGAGAGACTTCCTTTGGGCCTCTGGCTCACAGCCTTTTTATACAGGCCAGCTGGGGCCTGATTGGGGTATGGCCCAGCTGCAGCCGCTTCCCAATCAGCCCAGCTTTTCCCCTGCCACAGCCCTCCCCCAGGGCTGTTTAAAGCCCTTCAGGGCAGGAGCGGGGTAACCACCCTGCTACACCCCCCGAAAAACATCCCCCGTCCCAGCGCCGCCCGCCCCGTGGAAACAAATCCTCCTTCCCCAGCGCCGCCCTGCCGAAACAGCTGTGGGCCAAAAAGGAAGGTTGGGGGTGTGTGTGTGATACTTTATTAAGAATTTTTCAATTAAAACAAACAATTTTTAAAATTATTTTAATTTTTTTTATGAATCATGGAAAAATGAAAAACCCCTGTTCCATTGAAAAAAAACCATTTGTACTTTTCATAATTACCTTGCAAGTTTAATGAGAGATATTACATCTCTTTTCGGCAACAAGCTTGTCGTATTTGGGGGTCATATTTGAAGTGGATATTTTCATAATGTCTTCCAAATGGTCGTCAGAGAAGAACGTGGCTTGTTTTTATTCATGTTCATGATGGAAAATGTTTGTTCACATATGTAAGTGCTTCCAAAAATGCTGAACGTTTTTAGTGCAACTTCGATAAGATTCTTGTATTTTTCATCGTCCAGACTTTTATAGAAGTCCCACAGGCTGCTTTCTGTGTGCTTATGTCGATAAACTACCGAACATTGAAGTTCAATAACCTCCAACTGCAAATCTAGTGGCACTTCCTCTGGATCCACAGAAAAGGGATCTTCAATCAGCTTCAACTGGACGTCATCGTCTTTAGACAAAGTAAGTCTTCTGTCAAATTCTTCAATCAAAAGATTGATGTGCTTTGCGTATTTCTCTCCTAACTCAGCGTGTTTGTGCTGAGGGATACGCTGTGCACAAGTGGGAAAATGACACATTTCACCTTTTGACAGCTGACTTCTGAAAAGTTTCAATTTCATTTTGAAAGCTTTCACTGCTGCACACATTTGAAATATAAATTGTTTTTTTTCCGTGAAGTTGAATGTTGAGATCATTC